CAGGTCCAATCCCTGGTCAGGGCACATATGAAAGGCAATCAATCTATGTTCTCTTTCACATCGATGTTTCTCTCTCTCTCTTTCTCTCCCCCTCTCTCCTTTCCCCTCTCTCTAAAATCAGTAAGCCAAAAAAAAAAAAAGCAAAAATGAATGAATGAATAAATAAATAAATAAATAAAATCAATAAGCATATCTTCTGGTGAGGATTTAAAAACATAATAAAACAAAATCAATAAAAACATACCCTCAGGTGAGAATAAACAAAAGTTTGATCTAGCATAGCCAGAAATACATTATACAATAGGAAGTCAATAAATATGATAGTAATAAATATAGATTTATATAAACATTATCAGGATTTCCCAATTTGAATAATTTTTCTCAAAACAGACATAAAGAATATAGGTGATGTAAAGGAAAAAAATGGTCTGAGATAATAACTAAGTAAATTTGATCAGAGAGCTATTACTGCCCCCTAGTGACAGAATATTACAATACACTTTGAAAACTTAGATCATAAAGTTGGAAATAAGAATGCTTATAAATCTGTGTTGCTTGCAAAATTTCTAATTGGTCCTTTTTACTCATTTATCCATTCATTATTTCACTTAATATACAATAAGGGATAAAACAGAAATGATTTTATCCTTCATCGCAGTCTCTTGGGAGAAAGATGCACACATAAAAAAATATATAACTAATAGATTGTGATAAATGCTATGAAAGAACGAACAGGATGCTGTAATGGAGAAAAATGGGTTCAGGCTAATAAGAGAAACCCTACTTGGAATTGGACAGTGGGACAAAGCTTCACTAAGGAAGAAACATAAAGTGAGACTAGCCCTAGTCAGTTTGCTCAGTGGTTAGAGCATTGGCCTGCAGACTAAAGGGTTCTGGGTTCGATTCTGTCGAGGCCATGTATCTTGGTTGCAGGCTCCATCCCCAGCCCCAGTCGGGGTGCGTGTGGGAGGCAACCAATCGGTGTGTGTCTCTCACATGGATGTTTCTCTCTCTGTGTCTCTACCCTCCCTTCCACTCTCTCTATAAAACCAATAGAAAAAATATCCTTAGGTGAGGATTAACAAAACAATAATAACAATAAAATAAGTAGAGAGACAGATACAGGATTTTCAGGATGGGGATTGGGGAAGTGCCCCAAGCAGGAAAAATTGTAAAGTGTATACAAAGTCTCAGCAGTAATGGGTGAGTTCAGCTCTTGAGAAAAGGCCAGCATGGCCAAAGTGAGAAACGGAATGAGTATAAACGGGGTGGAGGGGTTGCAGATGGGGCCAAACAATGCAGAACCTTTTAGGCTAGGGCAGTGGTCGGCAAACTGCGGCTCGCGAGCCACATGCGGCTCTTTGGCCCCTTGAGTGTGGCCACGAAGTTTCAATCGCACTGTACGTGCGCGCCCGCACGTGGTATTTTGTGGAAGAGCCACACTCAAGGGGCCGCAGTTTGCCGACCACTGGGCTAGGGTAAGGAGTGTGCATTTTATCCTAAGTGAAATGGGACCTTATTCATCGTTTTTAATCAGGGGACATGTCTGTCGTGTATTACGATAGATTACCCCAATTGCGGGGCTCAGAGCAGAAGCAGATCAGCAGTTACAGGTACACAGTGACTGGCCAAGCCCCAAGCAGTGACTGCGGGGATGAGAGAACAGGACACACTTTAAATAGGAAACATGCACCCTGGCTGGTTTGGCTCAGTGGACAGAGCATCGCCCTGCAGACTGAAGGGTCCCAGGTTCGATTCCAGTCATGGGCACATGTCCGGGTTGCGGGCTCAATCCCCAGTGGGGGGCGTGTAGGAGGCAGCCGATCAGTGATTCTCTTTCATCGTTGATGTTTCTATCTCTCTCTCCCTTCCTCTCTGAAATCAATAATAATATATTTTTTAAAAAGTTTCCTGCTTCTAAATAAGTAAATAGGAAACATGCTTTGGAGGCACAACTGACAGGAGCTGCTGTGGGACTGGAGGTAGGTGATGGGGGAGAAGGAAGAATAAAAGACGCTGTTTTCAGGTTTCAGCAGCGGAGAGATGCTCATTACTGACAGAAAAGACTTGCGGAAGGGCAGGTTTCAGTTGGGGGAATCAAGACCTGTTTAAATATTGACTTTAAAATATCTGTGCAACTTCCAAGAAGACATGTAAAGGAGGACGTTGGATCTGTAGTCCAAGGCTCAGAGGGGATGTCCGAGCCAACAATGTAAATTTAACTTCATGGGCATCTAGATGGGATTTAAGGTCACAGAGGATGAGATCACTCAGGGAGAAACTGTAAACAGACTTTGTACTTGGTCAGCCTCCTTCGACATGGTGATCATCTGTGAGTATGACTTATGACAAGGGCAATACTTAAAGGGTCTCCTGTATTTGGCTTTAGGAGTTAATGAAATAGCTGTCCCCATGTTGTTACAATAACCTCTTCTTTATAAGAATAGCATTTCAGGCTTCTTGATCTCTTCTTTTCAGCTTTATTCAAGAAAATGATTTAGGCTTAAGTCTTATCTTTTGTGAACCTAGATTAGCTTATCTCAAGTTTATAGTTACATGACAAAATTCTGGACTTGTTAGGATCCTTGATCTTTAAAGCCTCTCTGCTAAGTCTGCTTAAGGGAATGCAGAATCCTCATCAAACTGCTAAAGACTGTGTAGGCCAAGTTAAAATGCCACAAATCTGACCATTCTTACACAGTGGGCACTGTGCTAAGCACTCTACTTCCAATATCCCATGAGGTTAGAACTATCAGAATCCTATTTTATAGAAGAGGAAACTGAGACATAAAGATATTAAGGTGGCTTGCTCCAGGGCTCATGGCTTGTAAAGAAAAGTGTTAGTTTATGAACCATAGTCTATAATGAAAAGTGAACCTGTGTTATTAATAATAGCTATGTAATTCATAATAGCTAGGTTTTATTTTAAGTACTTGCTTTTTTACAGCTACTGTCGTCCTGAGGATTATGAACCATAACCTACCTGATTCCAGTCTATTCTCCATTGCTATGCTATGTACTACTTTTCATTTGTGAAAAAATAATTCAGAGAAACTAAGTTTAGTTAAAAGTGTAGCTAAATATGAACTCATACAATGGAAATCAATTATAAATAAATTTTATAGAACTCATGCTATACATAAATTATCACTGAGGTCTTTATATACATAAGTCATTCTTACCCATGGTATGTATCTGAATCATGTAGAGCATTTTAAAAACATATCTGCAAGGCCTGGCTGGGGTGGCTCAGTGGTTGAGCATCAACCTATGAACCAGGAGGACATGGTTTGATTCCTGGTCAGGGCACATGCCTGGGTTGTGGGCTTAATCCCCAGTAGGGAGCATGCAAGAGGCAGCTGATCAATGATTCTCTCTGATCACTGATGTTTCTATCTCTCTCTCCCTCTCCCTTCCTCTCTGAAATCAATAAAAATATATTTTTAAAAAAATACACACCGGCAAAACTCTCCTCTCTTCCTGCACCACCCAGGGTGGAACACAAATGATGTCTGCACTTTTCAAAGTTCTGTAGATTCTAACTCCATCCCAGACAAGAACCACTTCCTTAGACTAAAAACTCCTTAAGATTGGTACTATATCAACTATTACATCACCTAATTTCTAAAATAGCTCATGCAGAAAAGATGCTTCTTAGAGAAAAAGGCATAAAGAATTAGAGACTTCGGTTTGAACCTTAGCCCTCTCTACTTGTACGACCCAGGGAATGTTAACTTCTCTGAACCTTAGTTTCTTCATCTATAAAGTAAAAGTTTTTTTAAAAAATCTACCCCTTAGAGTTGTTACAATCATAGATAACATATAGTATGCGCTCAACTGGTAGTTGTTCTAATTAATCCTGAAACTGACTAAACAAATATCAGATTTAAAAATGCAGCATAAATAGTGCCACCTCTGGAAAGTACACTCTGTGAAGTCACCTGAGTGAGGACAGTCTTCCAAGAGCTCACAACCCAGTCAGGGACTGGGGCATTTTCTCTAACAAGGAAGCCGTGGTGAGCATTCACAGGGAGGTGGATTTCACGGATCACAGGGAAATGAGGAAAAGAGAAATAACTCTGATGCAGAAATGGTTCTCAAAAGTGCGATGTGAACTGTGCTCTGACAGAAGCATAGTCAGATATGCTCATTGGACCTTATTTCAGGCCAATGGTTCACAAACTTAAACATGCATCAAAGTGACATGGAGGGCTTGTGAAAACACACAGGGCCCTACCCCAGACTTTCTGACTCAGAAGACCTGGGCGGGGCCCGAGAATCTGCATTCCCACGTGACCTGATGCCAATAACCAAGGGAACCCTCTTCGAGAACCATCACTAGAGTGCTTGAGCAGAACTGACGAGTGCGCCAGACTTTCTGACTCAGAAGACCTGGAGCGGGGCCCAAGAATCTGCATTTCCCAAGTGACCTGATGCTAATAATCAAGGGAACCCTCTTCGAGAACCATCACTAGAGTGCTTGAGCAGAACTGACGAGTGCTAGCAGCTTTCCCTGGCAGCATCTGGGGTGTGGCTTGTGTGAGTGCTTAAGGACTACGGTCAGAAGTCTATGCTCTAGAAATAAAAACCCTTTCTCCATAAAAACACTTTGTCCCCTGATAAGAGGTAGATAAATTTCCCTTCCTGGAAAGGTAAGCTAACTTTCCAGACTAAGTTAAAACTATTTAATTACCTCTTGTAATATGACATTTATCTCTAACCTGTTATTTTTCAACTCCACTAGCTATTTCCTGGATTTGCATAACACAGGTAAACAATAAGGTAATGAGGTGACAGATTTTGAGGTACAAAGCTAATCAAATGCAAAAAGAATAGAAATACAGTATTACTTATTCTTTCAAAATGAGAATATAACACTAATACATCCTGAATTTTAATATTTTACTCTGTATGGTGTAAGTTAAAATTTTTCAAAAGAACAGTGTTGAAACCTATTCAATAGTTTCACTTATAAATTTTAAGGACTCTTTCATACTCACCAAAACCATCAATATCTAGATTATTTTCAATCACAACATCTAGCAGAGAGTCACCGATTTTTCCTTTGGCTGTTAGTATTTCACCGTCACGGTTTAAAAAGTGGACTGTTATTTTATCTTCTGAGCTGAAAAAGGAAACAGTTCTTTATTAATTATTTTCAAAAAATACTTTAAAATAACTGTTTTTAATTATTTTCAAAAAATACTTTAAAATAACTGTTTTAAGAACTGGTAAGGTCAAATTAAAAAACACTTGTAAGGTCAAAGAAACAGTGGTGTGTGTGTGTGTGTGTGTGTGTGTGTGTGTGTGTGTATGCACATGCAAGCAAATGTGCTCTTCTACAGAATTTTCTTTTCTTTCCAAAGTTCATTTGGGAAGAAAATACCACAAATACCAAAAAGGCATATCTATCTGCCCAGCTACCAGAAGAGCTCTACTGCCTGAAAGGAAATGAAAACTAGGCCATGTACTTCCCTATGCATTGTGTCTCCCGAGTGGTCATGGTTATGAGTCACAGTCATGTCAAAACATCTAGCAATCATTATCATGAAAGTCTATTTTGCTCTCACACAGCTCTCTGAAAAACAATCTCTATGAACGTGCCCCTAAAGACTAGACCACTGTTGTGGTGAGCTTTGGGAAAGCAAAGCACCCTGCCGTCAATAGGCAATTATGCATGTGTCTGGCAGGTACTGTGCTTAAGGCAGCAGTCTGATAGTTTCCTGAGTATTTGAACATCTCACTCTGGTCTACATTGTGTGCTCAAAAATCAAAGGGACTAGAAAATATTATTTGTTTGTTTGAATCTGTGGGAAGATAAATATACCCCCTTAAGTGCTTTATTATAGGACATTATATTATCTATCAGCCAGCTAACTTAAAAATTGTTTCCCTTCTCACAAACATCAAAACAAAATTTGGGAAAAGAAATTATATAAGTAACTAGATCCTTATCCTCCACCATTGGTCATTATAATTTTTACCTCACAATTGAAAAGATGTACTTCAGCTTAAAATAATTAATTGCAATTTTCACTACTGCCAGCAGATGGTAATAGTCCATATCAAAGAAAACTTGAATATAAGTAAAACCTAGAATTAAATAATTCCAGAGTTATAAATATCTCCCAATTTATCAAATCCTCACAAATGAGGCAACTGAAGTCCCTATCAGATAATGGCCTCCCTAATATTCCAACACTGAAAAAAGAGGATTCCATTAATTAAAAATTATATAAAATACTAGAGGCCTGGCCTGTGCCCTCTCGCAATCCAAGACCCCTCAGGGGATGTAGGGGAGCCAGTTTTGGCCCAATCCCCAAAGGCCAGGCTAAGGAACCCCACTGGTGCAAGGGCCTCTAGTATGCATATAAGATCTTTGGTTAATCTCTCCCTCCTTCCCTGAGATTCATCACTCTGTTCCATGTTTCCATGCCTGTGGTTTCCGCTCCTGCATTAATCATCTGCCCCCTGGTGGTCAGTGCACGTCACAGCTACCAGCCAGTTAGCTGATTGCTTAGGCTTTTATATATATAGACTAGAGGCCCAGCGCACACGAAATTGTGCGCAGTTAGGGTCCCTAGGCCTAGCCTGGTCTCTGTCACATGGCCTCTGCTGCCCTGCGACGCTACATGAAGCTCCCCACCCCAGGACGCTCCGTGAACCCCGCGACTGCTCCTCAAGGCTCCCTCGCCCCTCAACTGCTCCGTGAAACTTGCTGCCACCCTGCGAAGCTCACTGCTGGACACTCCGCGAAACTTCCCTCTCCCCCCACCCCGTGACTGCTCTGGAAACCCCCCTGCCCCGCGACTGCTTCTCGAAACTTGCTGCTGCCCAAGTGACTGCTCCGCTAAGCTCACGGCCACCCCGCAAAGCAGCCCGCCACCGCCGCTCAACAGTTTCCAGTCCCACCCCGCCACCAGCCCCCCCTCATGGTGAGTGGCTCGGGGATTGGGGGAGAGGGGGGACTGAGAGGTGCTCCATCACTTCATAGTGACCAGTTGCCCGTTCGGTCATGAAGGCACCTACCTCTTTATATATATTAGGATATGTGAAAGTCTCTCAAAAGGGCTTGTGTACTCCAACTATTTTTTTTCATAGCAAAAAAAAATGCTTTAAAATTAAGTATTCTGAATATTATTCTTGATTTTCCAAGTACAATGGCTGAGAATGAAGATACTCTGGAGGCAGGGAGACCACTTTGTAAGTTATTAAAAGAGCACAAACTAAGCAAGGATATAGGAGACATTGTCTTAGATATTCAGGGGGTAGAATTAAAAGGTTCTGGTAGCCATCAATATAAGATGGACTGAGAGAGAGAGGAAAGAAATAATGTTGAAGTTTCCAGCTCGGGCAATTAGGGGGTACAGTTTAAGGTAGGGTTAACAGATGGGGAGATGGAGCTTTGGGGAAGATGGAAATGAGTTTGAGTTTAGACCTGTTCAATTTAATAATAGAAAAAAGTAGATGAGAATGTCGAGAAGCCAGATGGATCTGAGCCCAGCAGAGCAGTCTAGAGATTTGACATCCACAAATGCCTCGTAAAAGTACGACAGACAGAATTCCATCATTTGTACTCACTACCGCAGGCAAAGGTTTTAGGGCTGCTGTTCTTCTAGAGCACTCTAGAGCTGAGTTACAGCAAAGGAATTCGAATTCTCTTCTACATCAGACTCCTCTGTAAAAGTGGGTTAACAACATATGCAAAATACATAACACAGAGTAGAGCTCAACAAACACTGATTAATAACTTTTAAAGTCTCAGTCCTCGTGTTGCTAAGAAGCCTGAACTGCTGCTATATATGTACAGCCTCACACAAAAACTGCAGAGGATGAGTATGAATAGGTTTACCAGAGGACAGGAGAGGGAGCAGAAAGGTAATTCTAGAGTTGAAAAGTATGGAATGTTAAGAATCAGATGTAGATTCCAGCCCTGGTTCTGACACATACTAATTAGAGGACCATCGGAAGCCACAGTGACTTCCCCAAGCTGCTGAGAGAATCAAGGAGAGAAAGTTTATGGAAACTCTGTTTCCTTGAAGCATTACGCACGTACTTTATACCCAAGTAACCCTATCCATTCACTATTAATACAGTGGGGCCTTGACTTAGGAGTTTAATTCGTTCCCTGACGGAGCTCGTAACTCAAATTACTCGTAGGTCAAATCAAAAAGTGAACGAGTGAGACACGTGATGCTGGGCTGATGTGGCGTTCACTGTGATGTTCGCTGCGCCAACTAGCGGTGGGGTATCTGAAGCTGGCTCGTAACCCGAATTTTAGCTCGCAACTCAAAGCAAAAAATCGGCTGAGAGACGGCTCGCATCTCGAAAAACTCGTTGGTCGGGACACTCGTAAGTCAAGGCCCCACTGTAATTGGTGTTGGTGGGTTTTGTGGATTTCCCCCTCAATTCTAAGAACTAGCAAGAAGCTTTGAGCTATTCCCAAAAAGGAAGATTTCATACACTGGTAAATAATTATGATCTTTCCAAATTTTCTTTCATCAATTAATCAGCCAACACAAAAAACACTATGTTCTTCACTTGTTACCCTTTACTCACTGCCATTTATTCAGCTCAATCAGACAGTTGTCAGGGGCTGCTGTGCTGCCGTTCGGGGAGGGGAGTTAAGCTGCTGATGCCTACTTCTTTCACCATAGAGAGTAGCCTGGGACCATTGGTCCAAGAAAAGGGCACCCATCTAGGGCTCCCTACTTCCTTAGCCACCTCAGCTCCTCCAAACGACCCCATGGGCTAAAGAATTACCAACTACTATGGTGCTCAAAAAAACAAACAAAAACTATATGAATTTTAGTCCTAGCTTTGCCAGCAACTTGCTATAGAATTTTTATTTTCCTTCATCTAACCTCCCAAGATTTTCTTAAGAGTCAAGTGAAATAATATATGGAAAGCTCTTTGCAACTTAAATCACTACAGAATATAAAGTATTGTGTCAGGGTATTTGGGAGTGAAAGGAGTTTTCGACTCTCAATTACTGATAGCTTATCTAAAATGTTAAACTTCCAAGTCAGAATGACAACCTCTAGACTGCTCTGTCCAGGTGACCTTTGTGTGTTCTACACCTGTGATGTTCTATACAGCAGCTACTCGCTACTGATACTTAAAAATTCAACCGGGGCCCTGGAAGGTGTGGCTCAGTTGGTTGGGCGTCATCCCAGGCACCCAACGGTCATTGGGTTCCATACCCAGTCAAGGCACATGCTGGGGTTTCAGGCTCGATCCCCAGTAGGGGTCATGCAGGAGGCAGCCCTTTGATGTTTCTCTCTCCCTCTCCCTTCCTCTCTCTCTAAAATCAATTCTTAAAAGAAAAACATTTGTTTTAAAAAAGTTCAACTGGGAAACTGATTAATTTTATTTTAAACAGCCACATGTGGTTAGTGCTGATCAACTCTCAGATAATATTAGCTGTAGCTCCAAAGTCTGTGATAGGAAGCACAAGGCCTCAACAGAAAAGCAGGACTGTGAGGGAACAGAATAAACGTGTGCCCCTTTAAGACAACTTCATAATCCAAACATTCAGTTCGGAGGAGATCATTCCTATTTACAAAAGCATTTATGTCCCTGTAAATACTAATTACACAAGCATGTTCCATACATGTCCCAATTTATATAATTTTTCAAGAAAGCATCCACTGTAGAAAACAAGGCATGTGCTGGGAGGGAGGTCAAAAGCAGGGAAGTGTAGGGGATATAGGGACAAATGAATCCGGCTCGCCTTCTCCGTTATTCCCCTCAGTTCATGCAGCAAATTCACTGAGCACCCGCTATAGAATAAGATTAAGGAGAAAAGGCGAATAAGTCCTACACCCTCTTCTCAGGTACCTCCTCAAGAAGAGAAAAGGCAGAAGACAAATCCAACAGTTCCTCCCTCCCTCCGGGTCTAGCTGCCTGCTACCTGCCAGCAGGGAATCAGTGAGCATTCTGCATCCTGCAGGGTCCCATCACGGTCCTGTACGCTGAAATGAGCACCTCTTAGCTCTAAGGAGATCGTGCCTTTGAAAAGCAAATATGCCCGAGAATACAAAGTACCAATACATTCTGGGGAAATTTTTGCACATCTCTTTCGACATTTACTACAAAACACTCCAGCTGCCCTGCCTGTGGAGTAGCCATACTCTATCTCACCGCTTCACTAATGAACTTTTTTTTCACTTTAAACTCAAAACAAAACGAAAACATAAAACACTGCAGGCCTGAGCTGCTGCTGCTACCAGGTAACATCTTCTGAGCCAGGAGGCGACCTGTCTTTCCTGCATTCTCTCATGTATTCCCCCAAGTAACCCTGTGGGACCAGCACCACTGCTCTCCTCCATTTACATACAACTGGGGGCGCGGAGACGCGTCGAGATTGCAGAAGCGGACGGGGAGCGGCAAAGCCGCTGCACAACCCGAATCGCCGCTCGGCGCAGGGCTTTCGGCGCGGCATCGGCTGGGAGACGGCGGGAGCCCGGGCACGGGGTGGATGTTCCCCGACAAGTGGACGTTCCGACATGGATCTGGAGGCAGAAAGTCCTCACGCCGCAGGAGAAAGGCCCGTCAAGCCCTGCCGGCCCGGCCCGCCACGGGGTGCACCTCGCGAAGGTCACCGCGGCTCCTGGCAGAGCAAAGGTTAGTCCCAGCCAACCAGCAGC